CCGGATCCTCCTCGGAGAAGGGGTCAGAATTACGTCGGGCATGTCCCCCATACAGGGGGATTTTCGAAAAAAAATACCCCCCAAATACTCCCAAATAGTCAAAACATGCTCAAAAAATAGTCCCCTGACGATTTTTACACTATTTTTGACTATTCCCCGTGTAGAGAGACAGGCCCGACTGAAGGTCGGAATGGACCTCAGGAGGGTTCGGGGCCCAATTTTGCGCGGCGTTGGGCCCGTCGGGCAAGCCTCTGTTGCCTCAGCTGGCCCGCCTCCCATACCTGTTCCCCTGCGTTCTTTCCTTTGGGGGGGCGAGGGAGGGGACGCTGGGGGCGGGGTGGGGGACGATCGGCGGCCACTGGGGGAACGCGCAGGCCCGTCCAGCGGGGCACCCAGAATACAATCAACGGAGGCACCAGCCGCAAACCGGAGCACACCCGCGACTCTTCCGGTGTCTGGCCATGCCCTGGGCGGCTGTTCGTGCCAGTAGCGGCTGGAGCCGGATGACAAGGCTTCGACTGGGCGCGTCCGCGGATCAACGGCATGCAGGACAACCTGCCAGGGCCCCCGCTTGGCCATCGAAGTTAACGGAGCGAGGGCGTAATTGTGCGCAGCACCGTCCCGAGTAGAGCTACATGCTCGCAGGACCCATCAGACAAGCGCAAACAAAATGCATAACCTTGCATCGGCCTCCTTCTTCTTCTTCTGCGATCTCCGCCTCCTCCTCCTAATTCACGCATCAACATGCTGCTGCTCCTCCTTGTCCCTGCCTGTCTTCGCGCTCACATCGGAGCCCGCGCAACGCACGCCATCCTACAGACTCAAGAATCTCATCTCCCGGGAGTCGACGGAATGTCGTCAGCCTCGTTACGGATCGTGCCCCATGATCCCAGACCCCCGACGTCGTGATTTTTTTACAGCGTCGACCCCCAGAGGTCTGGACCTCTTCCCCTGGACCGCATCCTGAATTATTTCTTGACGGTCCCGAGGCCCGGGAAGGGCCCCCCGACGCAGAAAATTACAAAAAACCTCCCGTCGTGATTTTTCCCAACCATCCTGTGGTGTTGGGTCCTCGTGCCCCGCGTTCCTCTCCTCTCCTCTCCTCTCCTTCTCTTCCTCCTTCTCCCCCTCCATCCTCCATCCTTATCCTAATCATCTTAATCACCATCACCATCACCATCACCATCATCATCATCATCATCAGCATCAGCATCAGCATCATCAACATCATCATAAGCATCATCATCACCATCATCACCATAATCATCATCAGAATAATAAGAATAACCCGAATAATCAAACTAATAGTCATCATCATCATCATCATCATCATCATCATCATCATCATCATCATCATCATCATCATCATCATCATCATCATCATCATCAATCATCATCATCATCATCATCATCATCATCATCATCATCATCATCATCATCATCATCACAGTCATCGTCACCAGCATCGACACCACCGCCCAATTTCGGCATACCCCTCACACGTGTCGTGGCCTCATCGGGAGCTCCACCGAAGGCCCCAGCGGGAGGGTCCGCATGGCACCGCGGCCCCATTTCGGCATACCCCTCACACGGTTTGTGGCCCCATCGGGAGCTCCACCGAAGGCCCCAGCGGGAGGGTGCGCATGGCACCGCCGCCCCATTTCGGCACACCCCTCACACGCTTCGTGGCCCCATAGGGAACTCCACCGAAGGCCCCAGCGGGAGGGTCCGCATGGCACCGCCGCCCAATTTCGGCATACCCCTCACACGTTGCGTGGCCCCATCGGGAGCTCCACCGAAGGCCCCAGCGGGAGGGTCCGCATGGCACCGCCGCCCAATTTCGGCACACCCCTCACACGGTTTGTGTCCCCATCGGGAGCTCCACCGAAGGCCCCAGCGGGAGGGTCCGCATGGCACCGCCGCTCTATTTCGGCATACCCCTCACACGTTTCGTGGCCCCATAAGGAATTCCACCGAAGGCCCCAGTGGGAGGGTCCGCATGGCACCGCCGCCCCATTTCGGCACATCCCTCACACGCTTCGTGGCCCCATAGTGAGCTCCACCGAAGGCGCCAGCGGGAGGGTGCGCATGACACCGCCGCCCCATTTCGGCACACCCCTCATACGCTTCGTGGCCCCATAGGGAACTCCACCGAAGGCTTCCGTTGAAGGGTCCGCATGGCACCGCCGTCCCATTTCGGCACACCCCTCACACTCTTCGTGGCACCATAGGGAGCTCCACCGAAGGCTTCCGTGGAAGGGTCCGCATGGCGCCGCCGCCCCATTCGGGCACACCCCTCACGAGGATCGTGGCCCCATAGGGGGTTCCACCGAGAGCGGTCCCCACGACGCAGTACTCACAGCTGCATATGGTTGGGCTCTTCGCTCGGGCAATTTCACAACGCGAGGGGGTCTGGGATGAGGGAGCGCCTCCTGCGACTCCGCGCGAACCCAGCCACGTTCGGTACCCCCCGCACGCAGACCGCCACAAGGCGCCTCCGCGCGCTCTTGACGCGCCTGCTCTGCAGCCCCTGTTTCTAGCCGCACTGCCCCGAGCTCCGTTCCTCCCGTGGCGCGCAGCGCCGCAGATTGGGCAGAGGCCGCGCTGTGCGCTACACGCAACTGCATGTGCGCAGAAGGCACAAGTCCGACTCCGAAACCCTGTGCCCAAAAACGTGTTCTGGAGGCGCATGTCTTCCTTCCGCCGCCTGCCGCCGAGCTTCCGCCGGCTTCCGCTGGCGGGGGCGCCCTCGTTTTGCTTCCGCCGACCTTCCGCCGCCCTTCCGCCACCTCCCTCCGAAGACGAGATGACAACTCCTTCGACCCTCGAAGGCAAGGCCATTTTGGGCACGCCCCACGTGTACACCACCATCATGCCTGGCCAAGGCCACCTTGGGCCCTGGCATGGTATACGCGCCCGCCTGGCCTCAGGCACCAACCGGGCAGGGCGGTCGTGCATTGGGCCCTTCGTTAAACTAACTCGTTGTGTGCCTCCTGGGGCCTCCGGGGGTCAGGATCCAAGGCGGAATAACAACGTGCCACTTCCCGGGCGTCACGATTGCTAACCTGATCCGAGCAGCTCCAGGCTCGGTCCCCTGGTTGCCGCCTGGGCGCTCGACGTCATCCTGTGTCCATCGGAGTACCTCTGTTCGGTTGCATCCACGCCTCCCGTCCCTTGTCTCTTCACCCGTCCCTGGTATGGTCGAAAAACAGAAGACCTCGTCTGCCCCCTTGGCACAACCACTGGTGCAACTCCCAAGCCTATTCGAAGCTATCCGAGGCAGTCCAAGGCTAGCTAGAGCCATCCAAAGCTGTTCAGGGCTGTCCTGAACCACCTGGGCGCCAAATCATGCAACCATTGTCGAGGCTGGAATGCCCCTCCCCCCCACACACACACACACACACATTCCCTGTCCCTCACTCATTTTGCTATTCGATACAATCACGACAAGGTCGAATCGATTGACCCCGCCAGCAGCGGCGTCCTTGTCCCACACTCTGAAGCGCAACCTGTCCCCAAGTGCGTACATGGGGATCACGGCCTTGCGCCCCCTCCTTCACGTCCCCGTGGTTCTCGTCGTCGTCGTTGTCGTCCTCCTCCGTATCATCATCATCATCATCATCATCATCATCATCATCATCATCATCATCATCATCATCATCATCATCATCATCATCATCATCATCATCATCATCGTCGTCATCATCATCATCATCATCATCAGCAGCAGCAGCAGCAGCATCAGCATAAACATCAGCATCATCATCATCATCATCATCATGAGCAGCATCATCCGCATCACCAGAGACCGCGGAGATGGGGGGGGGCCAAGAAGAGAGGGGGCGGCCGAGGAGGAGGGGGAGGGCACAGCGTGCGAAATCGGAGCCCTCTGCAGGGGGCCGTGCCACCACCCCAGCACCCGGAGCCTCCTGCCACAGGAGCGGCACGCGGCGGCGGGGGGGGTGTGGGGGAGGGAGCGAGGGAGGACCCACGGGAGTCCTTGAGCCACCTGAGCAGCTCCTCCAGCTCATGATGGGCCTGCTTCTTCCACCACCACCACCAGCAGTTGGAGGGGGAATGGGGGTCCTCCTCCTCCTCCTCCTCCTCCTCCTCCTCCTCCTCCTCCTCCTCCTCCTCCTTGTCCTCCACCTCCGTCTTCTGTGGGCCCCGGGAACGGCAGGGCCGTTTTTTACCGTTTCCAGAGCGTCCCTTGAACATGGAAACGGCAAAAAAACGGCGACCGGAAACGGCAAAAAAACGGCTCCAGGATTGGAACCGGAGCCGGAACCGGTCAAAAAACGGCGACGGAACTGGTGAAACAACGGCATCGAAACCGGCAACAAAACGGCAAAGCGGAACCGGTAAAAAAACGGCCCTGCCGTTTCCAGGGCCCACTAAGCCTCCGTCCCCCCTCCAACTTATGGTGGTGGTGGTGGTGGTGGTGGAAAACAGGTCCATCAGCTCATGCCTGTGCCAGCCTCCTGCCACGCCAGGGAAGGGGTCCCGAAAGGGAGCGCGTCCTGGGCCAAAGGGCTGCCCCCAGGTTTGGCCCCTTCCGTCCTGAGCTGCTCCCTGGCAGCGCCTGGTGCCGCGAGGGGCCTCGAGGGGGCCGGGACCAGGGACGGGAACCCCCCAGGGCCATTTTTCTTGGACGAAATGCCTGGGCACTAATGGCCGACATTTTTTTGGTTGCGTGTCTCTCTCTCTCTCTCTCTCTCTCTCTTTCTATATATATATATACACATACTATATATATATATATATATATGTCAGTAAGTAACAAACGACGAAAAAACGAAATGCATATTTTACCGAAAATGCCGAATTACCCCTAATTGCCCAGCATTTTTTGGCGAACTGCCCCAGGGGCCCCTTTTTATCTCAGGGCCCATTCGGGGTGGAGCGGGCGCAGTGCCCAAATCATGGCGGCACGGGCTTCCCCTCAGCGCTGGCCGCCGCAGCAGTGCACGCGGTGCTGCACTGCGCCCCGCCCGCAGCCCCTAGGGCGAAGCGGGCTCCCGCAGCATCTCCTGCAGCGCAGGCAGCTTCTCCGTGGCCCTCCTGCGAGAGCCAAACAGGCAGCACAGGCATGCACTTTCGGAGGTTCGCGTGGACGACTTCCTGGGGCAGCGCTCGGGCATCCACACTCGGGCGCGCCGAGCGCTCTGGGGGCATCGCCACAGGCGCGACCCCAAGAAAGGGTCAGGAACCTCGCGCGGACCTCCGATGTGCCTGTGCTCGAATGCATATTTGGGTCTCCGTCCTCGCGAACTCGTCCTCGTCCCCCGCGGAGAGAAGGCTGGACACCAGGTCCTCTGATGGGAGCCGAATTTGAGGACTGGTTCAGCGGGGGAAAGGACTTGAGAGCGTTTTCATTCGGCGCTTCCACATTGGGCGGAAGGGGGGGAGGAGGGGAGGTGTCTGGCTCTGCACCTCTGTTAAATGCAACTTTTTGGAACTGTGCGTCCTCTGGGGGGGACTCCACCTGCTCGAAACAAGCGCCAACAACAGACATGATCTACTCCATGGGGGGGGGGGGGGGGGGGAGGGTCCACGCCGATCGGCAAAACAATGAGCAGAAAAACGATCACCTTGGAATCGACGATGCATCGTCGATTGATCGCTCCAGGGGAGGTTGGGGCACCACGGCCCCGATGATCGGCGAGGCATGCGCGAGATTGGGGGGCGAGGCTTCTCCCCGCGCTCCCCCCTGTCCGGGCCCCTGACCCACTGGCCGCCTCACGAATCTGGACCAGGACCATCCTGGACCCAGGAGCGTCGAAGGCGCCCCCTGGCTTATATTACTCCCATCGCATTTAAGGGCCACATCCCAGAGATCAGAAAAGTCGTATCAGTGTCGAACGAGTATCGCCTCCCAGGGCCCGACTCGTGAAAACCCTCCAGTTTCCATACCTTTCCTGGTGCTCGAAATCCTTTCTGGTGGTCGAGGCTAGAATAGGCTGGGACATCAGAAACCAGGACCCTCCTGGACCCAGGACCGTTGCCTGCGCCCCCCTGGCTTAACCACGGAGGCATTCGGGTGCACACAAATCAGGGGCCACAAAAGGTCGGCCTGGCGAGGATCGGCGACGCGGTCGTGGGAAGCCGCAAGCCGTACCCCAGATTTCGTAATAAAGGGAGGGGGGTCTCATTTCGGGGGGGGGGTCCCTTCCAGGCCATCTTGGAGGGCCTGGGGGGGTCTTGGGGCGATGTCTTGGAGGGCTCTGCCCACGGGGGAGGTCTGAAACGGCTCGTCTTGGAGGGTCCAGACCCCCTCCCTTTTATTACGAAATCTGAAATACCCGGGTCCTCGGCGCCCGGCAAGGCGGTCGTCGGAAGCCGGAAGCCGTACCCCGGGGGAGGAGGAGGGGAGGGGGAGGGGAGGGAGGAGGGGGGAGGAGGAGGAGGAGGAGGAGGAGGAGGAGGAGGAGGAGAGGAGGGAGGAGGAGGAGGAGGAGGAGGAGGAGGAGGAGGAGGAGTGCACCTGCCCGGGTCCTCGGCGCCCGCCGCGCCCCCGCACGGCCTCTTCGCCGCGCGGCCGAAGCTGCTGTCGGCCTCGAACTCCCGGGCGCGCCGCCGCGCCGTGGCCACCACGCGCGCGGGGAAGCCGGCGAGCTCGGCGACGTGGGCGCCGTAGCTCTGGTCCGCGGCGCCCTCCTTAAGAGGGCCTCCCCCGTCCTCCTCCTCCTCCTCCTCCTCCTCCTCTCTCCTCCCTCCTCCCCCTCCCTCCTCCTCCTCTCCTCCCCCTCCTCCTCCTCCTCCTCCTCCTCCCTCCTCCTCCTCCTTCCTCCCTCCTCCTCCTCCGGTACACGACAAGTTTTTGCAGGCGCCCCCGTCCATGGGCGGCTGGAAAGTGTATACCCCGACAAGCCACCGCAAGGGTACAGGCTGTCCAGCCGCCCCGAGACAGGCGTCCCCGACGGAGGGACAAATGATATCAGACCGCTCTTCGCCTGCCAAAGTGAGCCAGCCTACGGCGGCTTCAAGTCGTGATGACGTCGACGTTGGGCTCTGGCACCGCGCAAATCGCTCAACCTCGAAGGCTGCGGCCCTCCCCAAAACGCAAATCCTTCAATGTCGGATGCCGTCAAGCTGCTTGTGGCGTTTAGCCCTGAACACAGACACGACAGAGACCAGCCGTGTGCAGAGACTTCTGGAGGTCTGCGCGGATTCCTCGGGCCGGCGCGGGATCGGGGGCGGCCAAGAGGGGGGCGTCCCAGAGGGGGGGGCGCAAATCATGGCCGGCGGCATGTGCGCGGCCCAGGGGGGAGGCCAGGGACGCATTGAAACAAGAAGAGGGGCCGTGAAATCTGGGGAAATACCAGGGCCCCCGCCATGAGATCCACCCCCCCCTAGTCATCACCCCCCTCTTCGCCGCCTCCGAGGGGACCTGCCTCCCCATGCACCTGGGCGGTAACCCCGACGTGCCCCGCGCGCCGGTGCACGGGCGCTGTGTGACAAGGGGGCGGGCGCAGTCCCGAGAACACCGTGCGGACCTGAGACACACAAACACTAACAGAATAAAAACATACACAGACACAGAAACATTAACAGACATGCATTTGAACATAGGAGAACGACGAACGAAATAAACATAACAACTAGGAGGTCCTCGCGGATTTCTCGGATCCGCGCTGGACCCCCAGGCGGTGCCTCTGGCGCCGCCCCTGGCGCGCTCCGCGCGCCAGGGAGGGGGGTCCAGCGCTGATCCGAGAGATCCGCGCGGACCTCCGTGCTTCTATGTTTATGTCATTCTTCGTTCCCTTTGACGAACGTCTTCCTTTGGTTTGTGGTGCTCCTCTCCTGGATGGCGTAGAGGAACGTGAGCTGGCCACTGGCGGCATCCACCGCCGCCGTGGCGTGCCGGTTGCGGACCGCGGGCAGCTCCTGCTCCAGGGCGGCCAGCTCGTGGAAGTGGGTGGCGAAGAGCGTAAAGCAGCGCGTCTCCTCCGCCAGGTGTCTCGCGATCGCCCACGCGATGCCGAACCCATCGGACGTCGAGGTGCCACGGCCCAGCTCGTCCACGATCACCAGCGAGCGCGGGGTGGCGGTGCTGAGGATGCAGGCCGCCTCGAGCATCTCGGCCATGAAGGTGGAGATGCCCCGCAGCTGCATGTCGGAAGCGCCCACCCGGCACATGACCGCGTCGAAGAGTGGCAGCACGGCGCGCCGGCAGGGCACGAAGCATCCCACCTGGTTCAGCAGCGCGATGAGGCCCATCGACCGGATGTAGGTGCTCTTGCCGCCCATGTTCGGCCCCGTGATCAGGTGCAGGCGAGAAGAGTCCTCGTGCATGGTGAGGCCGTTGGCTACGAAGCTCTTGTCCGAATTGGCGACCACCAGGGCGTGGACCGCGCCTTCCACCTCGAAGGTCTTGCCGGTGGGGTCGATGGTGGCGCGCACGAAGGTGCATGGGGCCGTGGCCACGACTCGAGCGAACGATGCCAGCACGTCCAAGCTGCCCCAGACCTCAGAGAGACGGTCCGCCACAGGGGAGTATGTTGCCGCAACGGCCAAGGCCCTGGTCACCAGTTGCGCCGACTGCTTATCGTATGTTGCTATGGCATCGTTCAGTTCCTTGTTCATGCGCTCGAGCTCCGGCGTGGTGAAAATGCACTCCATCTTCTTGAATGCGAGCACCTTGAACTTCGTCTTGTCCTTGCACGTCTGGACGGACTGCTGATTCTTCTTTGTAACGCGAAGTGCGAGACCTTCGGGACATTCCACCAGGGCGACCAGCCTCTCCTTACCTCGCGCAGAAGGAAGCTTCAATTCGGCTTCGACCTTCTTGCGGACGGCCTCCATCCTGTCCTTTACCTGGTCGCGCGTCGAGGCCAGCTGCCCCAAGGACGGGTCGAACGCCGTGCAGATGCAGAAATTCCTCTGGTCGGCCTGCTTCAAATCTATCGTCTGCTCCACCAACCGCCGGTAATTGGCGCAATCGGACGCGCAGGCCTGGAGCTTCTGGACGATCGTGTCCTTCAGCACCTGGCTGTGTACACCACCATAGCTTGCTAACTCAGTCGCCATGGACTCCGTGCCGAGCACGCACCGGTAGAGGAGCACCATGTCCTCGAGCGAAGCAGTGTTGCGCCGAGTCGCTTTGGAGCCAGTGCAGTGCAGTCGAGCAGCGATCCTGTCCAGGTCTGGCACGTGGCGAAGGTGGCTCTCGACCTGCCGCAGCAGCCCCTCGTCGCCAGACAGAGCCTCCACCACGTCGTGCCTCATGGACACCTCGTCGGGCACGGTGAGCGGCTGCGTCAGCCATTGACGCAGCCGGCGCACGCCGACGGGCGAGCGCGTCCGGTTCAGGAAGCCCAGCAGGGAGGTCGTGGAGCGCAGGCTCTCCTCGGGCCGAGGCAGGATGTTCAGCGCCGAGAAGGCAGCCTTGTCCAGGTACATGAAGCTGCTCAGGGGGTACAGGCCGAGGGAGCACGCCCCAAAGTTCGACGGCTCGGCGAGGAGGCCGAAGTGCCCCAGGAGTGCCGCCAGGGCGCGCATGCCCTGCTTCCGGCGCTGCTCCTCCAGGTGGCGGCCCAGGCCGCACTCTGCAGTGTCCTGCAGCAGCCTCAGCAGGTCTTGCTCCAGATCCACCTGTTTCAGGTTGGCAGCCTTCGCCTCCTCGCAGGCAACGCCGCAGGACTGGGCCACGCGGCCAAGCTTCTTTGCATCCTCTGTCTCCGAGAGCATGAAGCAGCAAGTCTGGGGCTGAACCTGCAGGAGCAAGGCCTCCCCCCTGGAGAGGTGGCTGTCCTCGTGATACTCGCACACCTGGAGGGCCCTCTTCTCCGGGTCGAACACGGCGAAGCCGAAGAGGCGCTCGCCCCCGGAGACGATGGCGCACAGAGGGCCGGATGCCGTCGCGGCGCTCTCCGACGCCATGGTGCGCGCAGCCCCCGTGAGACCCTGCGGCTGCTCGTGGTCTGGACCAGTGGCTCGGGCTGCTTGAGCCACACCAGCTGTGAGCACGCCATCGAAGTCGAACCGACTCGAATGGTAGGGACCGAAGCGAGCCCCGAGGGGGGCCCTCCGCCCACGAGGACGGCCCAAAGCTCCAGCGCAGGCGGCGCGCCGAGGCGCCGCCGCCGCTCCAGCCGCAGGCACGTTGGGGGGCAGCCTCTTCGACGAGAGGCGCCTGCGAGCCCCAAGCGATCCGAAGGCAATGCGGAAGTGTGTGTGCTTCTGTATGTGCCGACGAGTTGAAGACGAGCGGCCTTACAACATCACACACCGATTGCCTCACCGTCGTCGGATCGCGACCCGACCGCCGACACACAAGCGACCCGCCCGCCACAGACCCGCGAACCGCCCGCGACCAATCCACGACGCGACCTTTACGTGCCTGTTGGGAGTGCAGGGGGTGATCTCAGGTGCCTTCCATGACCGCGATATGGAATACGGTGAATGCATGTAGTCGGGCCTATACACCAAATGTCGGGTTTGCGTCGGGCGTTTTTATGGCGCGTCTCGCGACGTTCACCGATTCACGCATGCTTGAAAACGCATAGTTGTTGAATGGGTCGCCACTGGTTGAGTTGACCCGAAGGGTCCTCGTAATCCCTGGTGTGCCAAAGGGGCCACCGAGACCGCCAAGACGCCCCCAAGAGAACCTCAAAGACCCCCCATAGTCCCCACACCTCAAGGCTCGGCAGGCCCAGAAGAGGCACCCAAAAGACCTCCAAGAGGCCCCCAAAGAGGTATCCCGACATCCAGAGGGAGATCTGGATCCTCGAACACCGTCTCCCCAACTACCCAGGCACGGTGACGGGTTTAGCTGAAGGCTGCTACACCCATATCTATAAGACCACCCTTCGGGTGATAACGACGTTGCGGGGGAGGGAGGGGGTGGGATGCAACTTTCGGCTCACGATTGGCATCGGCTCCGATTCGCGATCTAAATCTATCTCATGGCCTCGCTGTCATATCTACTGGTCCCACCATCTACCCATCGTTCCTACCATCAGAACAGAATTCGGTCTCGCTGTGGATCAGTCTCACTATACAGCGTACAGCGAAATATCCCGCCTACATCGTACGGACCGATCTCACCCTACCTCTCCCAATACATATTTCTATATATACACATTTGTATACGAATCGGAAGCACCATCTGTGTTCATAGGGACAACCATAAGAGCAACCATGGGACAACCAGGTGATAATCACGGGACAACCAGGGACGACCACAAGTTCACCATGGGATAACAACGGAACAACCATCGTGACACCCGCGGGAAACAAATTGAGAACCTCAAGATACCCATGCGACAACCACGGAACACAACTGGGACAACCTGCGGGAATGCCCCGGACGACGGCCAAGCAAGACAGTCCGCCCTGACCTAGCCCTAGCCAGGCAAAACACTCGCGCAACGTTGCCTCGCCTCGCCAGCACTCGCGTCACGCACTCTACGAACCGAAACCCAAATCAATGTCCCGGTTAGGGGACTCCGTTTCTCTTCGTCTCTCCCCATCGACATCTGATCTACGTGCGTATACATGCAGACATGCATGTGCACAAATATGCACATTCCATACACAGCGCTTGAACTCAATTAGGGGGTTCCTACTTCTCTTCCGAGGAACCGAGCTCTTCTGCGGGCACGGCGGCCCAACGTATTTTGCAAAACCTAGCTTGCACCACTTGGCTTGCACCACTTGGTTTGCACCACTTAAATTGCACCACAATGCTTGCACCAAATGATTGCCACACGTCGCTTCCACATCCACAGTTCACTAGCTTTCTGTTTGGGGTCGACGCTGGTGGACATACATACATACATGTGTATACATATATATATATATATATATATATATATATATATGTATGCATGCGCATACATAGGTACAGCCGAATGAGGGGGCCGAACGACATTGTCCTTGAACAAGTGGCTGAAGTGGAGTTTGCCGGTGCGGATTACTATTGCGCTGTTGTTGCGTTGCTGTTGCGTTGAACTCTCTTTTTAAAAAGGAATAATCATTGTTGACCCCCCCTTGCCCAGTGCCCATTTTACTCTTCCATTGCCCCTAAGGGCTCGCACCCTGTTTGCTGTTATGAGGGACAGGCGTCCTCCTCAAACTGCGCCCCTGTCCCCCGACCTGAGAAAAACAACGTCCCGCTTGAAACCTCTTCAGAATTCATTTGAACATCGCGCTCTCGTGCGGGACCCCCCGCGACCCACCCCGCGACCCACCCCGCGGCTCACGCCGAGACCAACCCCGCGACCCCCCCCGCGACCTCCGACCCACGCGCGATCCACCCACATTGTGTTGACTAAAACTATACGTCTGCGGCGGGCTCCTTCGGATCCTCGCAAAAGGCCGACAACCCCGCCGCCCCCTCTTTTACGCAACTACGGGATGCTACGTATACGCATACATTTATATATGCATCTATATGTACACGCATTTGATCCTTGTTAATACCAAACTAATATGACACAACCACGCGCGATCCTAGTATCCAGCGCGCTTCAGCCCTGCCAAACAAACATACCCAATGGCAGGAGCCAGGCTTGGCGCGGCCCTGGGATTTGTCGAGAGTGCTCCGCAACGGCCCCCAGAGGCCCAAGTTGCCACCAGCGTCATCCACCATGGCTCCTACGTCTCCACCCTGAACCCCCCTGAGGGCGTCTCGGGGCGCCCGCCGGTTGCTTTAACGGCATCATGTGCCGCCCTGGGTACATACGAGGGGAACGAAAAGTGACATAGACATAAAAACTCGGAGGTCCGCGCGGATTTCTCGGATCGGTGCTGGACCCCCCCCTCCCTGGCGCGCGGAGCGCGCCGGGGGCGGCGCCGGAGGCGCCGCCGGGGGGCCCCAGCGCCGATCCGAGAAATCCGCGCGGACCTCAGAGTTTTTATGTTTATGCCACTTTTTGCTCCCCTACATACTTTTTTTTTTTCCCACCGCACCCATTGGATGAAGGCTCGAACTCGAAATAAGCCAAATCTAAAAAAACGCTGGTTTGTTCCCCTACAGACTGGGCGGCGCCCAGCCCGCACCGCGCAGCTTGCGCGCCGCGGCCGCCGGGCCCGCAGTGTGCTGGTGCGCCCTCGGCGTCCCGCCTCGTGCCTCCAAGGAGCTACGGGTGCACGCCGCAGCCACCAAGTCTCCACGGCTCCGGTGCTCCCTAGAGATCCCGTTTCGCTCGGAGCAAAACATACACTGGGCGTGGCTTAATGGGGGGGTCACAAATGGGGGGGTCAGAAAAGGTCCCCTTTCGTGCCCCTTTCGGGCCCCTCCAGAGCCCCAGGGGGCTCGTTTAGGTACCGTTTGGGTACCTTTTCGGACCACACTCGCCGCCCCCCCATTTATGACCCCCACATTACGCGGCGCCCAAATACACGAGTCTTCCCTGTGGCCGGCTCGGCTTCTGCCCCAGGCAACAAAAGATTCCCCGTGGATCCGCGGTGTCCCCGGCAGCGTCTCTGCCAACTGCGGCCGGGAGGTGCGCGGCGCCGCGGGGCGCCGCACACGACGCCAGCCAGGGGGCCCTGGCTGGGGTGACCCAGCCGGGGGGGCCCTGCTGCAGCCGACGGGCGCGCAGCCAATCCATAACCCCGTCGGCGGGTGAGGCGCTCGAGACCTGCAGCTGAGGATGAGGCCGGCCGGCTCAGAAATCCTGCTAAGGGTCTCGGGCTCCAAAACGAATAATCACACGTGTGCGCGCGCCGGCTGGTTCACGCGACAAATGGGCGCGAGGGGGCCGCAAAGTACCGCGCGCCCTCTGGGGCCCACCCGCTGGTGCTCACTTGCGAGCAACATGCAGATCTTTGGGGATCGCGTTAGAGGGCCTTGTCGTCTGAGCGCTTCCCGTTGATGGCGACGACGGCGCGCCCTTCCAGCTCAGCGCCTTCCTGGCAGCGACCACTCGTTGTGCTGATACCTTGATGGCGGACATCTGGTACAGCTTGCCCTGGAATGCCGAAGCCTTGTGGGGAAAGGCATTGAGAAATTTATTTGTCACCAGCATGTCCTTTGTGAGTCTCAAGGCGGTCTTCTCCCTGCATCCACGCAGCACCATCGAGCGGCGCGTCTTGCCCTCTGCAATCCTGCGCACGCGCTTCGCCTTCATGGCACCAAACGGCTTGTTCACATCTTATCCTGTACCCCTCTCGCGTCAGACCTCTTCATGTCCCGGGCTTGGCAGGGCCATGACCGGAACAAAGGCTGGGCCGGCTGTCTGTCTCATAAAGAGAAGGCAAACGTGCTCACACCCAAAAGCCCGCGAAACAGGACCAAAATGGCTTGAGCCATAATTGCTACGGAACTGCTTTGAGCACTTCGTTGGACGCCTTGGGATCATCGGGGACAATCGGGAAATATACTCGGGTCCATCCAGGGTCGTGGAGGAGCGTAAACAAATAGATCTGAGGCGGAGTGGAGCAGACATCGCTGTGGGTCCTTCTGCCTGTCGTATCATTCGCATGCTGTCTTTTCGCTTTCCGGAGCCTTCCTGGTGGCCGTTTGAGCCGTCTTGGGCCGCCTTGGGCCTTGGGCCCCCCTGGGCCGTCTTGGGGGTATCTCGGGGCTGTCTTGAAGCCGTCTCGGAGCCCGCGGGCCTCTTTTGGGCTGTTGACCCCCCTTGGGCCGTCTCGGAGCTCTCTTAGGGGTACTCTTGGGGGTTCTTGGGTTCTCTTTGGGTATCTGGGAGCGTCTTCTTGAGCCTCTGTGAAGGCTCTGGAGACCCAGGAGCGAGTATGCCACAAATCGCACGACGACCAGCGGCAAATAATTGGAGCGTGCCTCTTGCGGGCCTTTGTTTATATTCTTCGGGCCCCTGGGGTCTTGATGGGATCCTCGTTGGGCCTTTTTGTCTCTTCGTGCAATCTGTAGGCTCCCGGCTTTCAGTGGGGGCGCGCCAGAGCAGTCTGGAGCGGCCAGGGGGGGCCAGGACACCCCAGAAGGGCGGCTAAACTCCGATGGCAAAAAAAGAACGAACGTCTGTGAGGGTGTTCTGGCCCTAGGTGGGCCCCCGGTACCCCAACACTTCTCCGTCGGCGGCGAGGCAGAAACGGCTACACCAGCACTAGAGCTAAACGGGGGCACCGAGAATTGAATTGGCAAGTGTACGCACACATATGTATATATACACATATATGTATATATATACTTTGCGACCAACCTCTGGGTGATAACCGGGGGGGAACCAACGTCTCACTCAATCGATCTCCCTATCGATCCCACTATCCTTCTCACTATCGTTCCCACGGACGATCTCAGTACCGACCTCACTATCGATATCACAATCAATATCACTACCGACCTCACTGTCGATACCACTATTGACCTCACTATCGACCTCAGTAACGGTCTCACGATAGATCTGTCCATCGATCCCACTATCGATCCCACTACCGATCTCACTATCGATCTCACGATCGTTCTCACGATCGATCTCACCATCGATTTCACTACCGACCTCACTGTCGGTCGCAATGTCAATCTCACTGTCGATCTCACGATTGATCTCACTACGGGACACCGAAGGTACACCGACGGGACGCCGACGAGACATCGACGGGCCACCACGGGACACCACGGGACACCACAGGACACTACCGGGGCACCACGCTGGGACACCCCGCGGCCACCGCCCGCCACGCGGCTGGGGTGTGGCGGTCTTCTGTCCTCGCCGCGCCCCAGCCAGATAGGATTCATCCCTCTCGCCCGCCCACGCAACGTCGCCTCGCCCGCACGCGCGGCACGAACACGAAACCGGAACCGGTTTCTCCTGGTGGGGGGGGGCTTCCCGTACCACTGCGATATCATCCCTTCACCTCTCTCTCTCTCTCTCTCTCTCTCTCTCTCTCTCTCTCTAAATGTCAGCGCATACGTATGTGTAACACATCTGTATACATATGGCTATATATATATATACATATATATATATATAGGTTTACACAAGTAAAGGTATATTTACGGACGTGTGTATGCTGTATATGTGTGTGTGCGCGTGCACACACTTTTTGTACGAGCAAGGCAACAGACAATCAGACGCGAATGGCAAGGGAACCCCAATCTGAGAGCTCATTACTGTGAAAACCCATTACAAGCAGCATCCGCCAAATCAAAAAACGAATACAACAACTGCAACACAAACGTGGATGCGGAATAAAGGCCCATCAGACAAGAAGCTAAAACCATTGAAAGTGCAGGGCGTTCAGGGAATTCGAGAAAGTACAGGGCATTCATTACTAATTCCGGTCAATTGTATTTCCGGTCATGTCCAATTCCGGCCGCGAATTACGCATGAAACGTGCCGACGCGCATGTATGCGCCCCCCGCGCCTCGACGACGACATCAAAACACACAACCATGGCCCCGCCAGACCTGCACGCTGCGGCAAACCTTCGGGCTAGAACCGCACCCCCCCACGTGGGGCCACGGTGCACCTGGGGGGGCCCGCCGGGGCCATAGCTTGCAGCAGGGCCGGGGCCCGCCAGGGCCAGAATTTGCCTTCCTCCTCCTCCTCCTCCTCCTCCTCCTCCTCCTCCTCCTCCTCCTCCTCCTCCTCCTCCTCCCTCTCGTCCTCCTCCTCCTCCTCTTCCCCCGGGGCCCACCAGGGCCAGAGTTTGCCTTGGCCCGGGGCCGGCCGGGGCCACGGTGCGCCTGGGCCGGGGGGCCCGCCGGGGCAGGGCCGGGGCAGGGCCGGGGCCAGAAGTTGCCTTGGCCCGGGGCCCGCCGTGGAGACACGCCCGCTCTCTCTCTCTCTCTCGTCCTCTTCCTCTCTCTCTCTCTCTCGTTCTCTCCCTCACGCACGCACACGCATCACTACGCACACGCACGCACACGCACGCACACACACAGAGACACACACACAGACACACACGCACACACACAGACGCACACGCACACACGCACACGCACACACGCACACACACACACAAACGTACGCACACACACACACACGCACGCACGCACACATACACACGCGCACACACACACACTCATACAATCACAATCGCACACACACGCACAGGCAAGCGGATTCCTCGTTTCTAATTCCGGTCCTTTCCAACTGCGGCCACGAATGAGAAACGAGAGGTGCCGACTGGGTGGGGTCGGCAGCGTTGTGCCGGCGAATTGGACATGAGCACTCTGCACGCAACCTTTTGTAACTGGCACAGGGCAAGCTACGCACAGGGGCACGCTACAGAGCAGCTCGATGATTCAAGCTGCGTAGAAGCAACACTTCAATATCATCAAGACGCGTGCGAAAAGCCAGCTACCGCCAATTCAAATGCGAGGTAAAGGCAGTTCTAGCATGCTTGGCTGAAGGTAAGATGACGCGGACAAGATAAACCGACGGCAAAGAGCATGTCGAGTGAAAAGGTGGTCAACCGAGGTCAAGGCAAGCTAGAGGACAGCGAACAGCACCCTAAATGAGAGCCACAGTCCAGCAAGCTCGATGCAACATAAGAGACATGCGAGAGGCAAGCGAAGCACTGCGGTAGACAAGGGCAATCCGAAAGCGAGCCGCCGCAGGACCCCAGGAGGACGGAAGAGTCGGGGATGGACAGACCCCCCTTCAGTAAAACGTTGTTTAGAGAAAACGACCTGAGGCCCAAACCTGGCGGGCGCAAGCCTGGAAAATAACGGCCACGCGCCCTCTCGAGAACCGAAAACGGACAATTCACTAATCGACGTGTCACTGTTGGGGTTTCTGTCCACCCCCGAACGAGGCGAGGGCACCCTTGTGGTGGTCTAGCACCCTCGTGGAACCCGGCCTCGGGCCAACGCCGCCAGGCACAGCATGGGTCTTGACCTTTGGACCTCTTCTGCACAGACTGCCTACGAACTGCAACGCGATTGCGCGAGCGCCCAAAGGCCGCCCGACCCATGCAAAACAGGGCTAGGATCGGGATAAATCGCTCGAGAAAGTTCCGGAGCGCTCTCAGAGCGTTCCGGAGCGCTCTGGAGCGGCCGCGGCGCCCAATACATGCTCCAATCCCGCCGCTTCTCAGAGATTTCGAGTTATCCCGATCCGATTTTGTCCCGATCTTCGCGTCGTTTTAGGGTGCCCCCCCCCCCAGCGCAGCAGCCGACTTCAACTGGGGGTGCCTGCCTACAGGCGTGGCACGGGTAGGTCATCGCATTTTCGGCGGCACTCGCTGACAGCCCACTCCGGACCTGGCCCCGAGGAAGAGCAAAACAGCTAGCGGATGTTCGATGTGACTCGGCATCTTGCCGTCGCTCGGACGTCCCTTTCCCGTGCATGTTTCGGTTTCGTGCGTGCCTTTTTTGCTCGATGGTCCAGGATGGTCCTCAAGGGTCCTCGCCGAGACAAAAAGACACACGTCCGAGCGATGCCAGGGCATGGCCTGATGGCGGGTGCGGCGGGGCAGAAACCGTGCTCTGACACTGCCCGCCTGCCCGCCGCCCTCTCGGCCCCCTGCCCCGCGAAGGTCAGGACGACCCGGTGATAGAGAGAGAGAGGAGCTTTTGCTCGAAAGAGGGAGAGGAGAGAGGAGAGAGAGGGAGAGGATAGCGAGGGAGAGGAGAGAGAGGGAGGAGAGAGGAGAGAGGATAGAGAGAGGACGACCCGGTGATAGAGAGAGAGAGAGAGTAAAACAGGGCTAGGATCAGGATAAATCGCTCCAGAGCGTTCCGGAGCGCTCTCAGAGCGTTCCGGAGCGCTCTGGAGCGGCCGCGGCGCCCAATACATCCTCCAAACCCGCCGACTCTCAGAGATTTCGAGTTACCCCGATCCGATTTTGTCCCGATCTTCGCGTCGGTTTAGAGAGAGAGAGGAGAAGGGCTTCTGCGCCGCCGCAGCGTGGCGGAATGGACGCTCGCCGTGCCTCTCTCGGCGGCGCCCCGCGCCCGGACTCCTCCACCTCCGAACCGGCCCCGCGCCCGTCCCAGGGGCACGCTCTGGCCAGGGTCTCGCGGCGGATCCAGCCGTGGCCCGCCCCCGACACCCTGGAGAAGATCAAACATCCATGCTCCTCCTCCTTCCTAAAATCTATCCTCCACCTCCCCCCCGCCCCACCCCCTCCGCATTCCCCGCCAGCTCCGGATCCCACATCTTCTTCCTCCTCCTCCTCCTCCTCCTCCTCCTCCTCCTCCTGC